AAAAAAAAAAAAAAAAAAAAAAAAAAAAAAAAAACTGGCTATCACTTTAAGTTGCATACCTCACCATCCTCATTCCCCACAATCACATAGCCGTATTTACAAAACGGGGCCGTCACGCTGATGGCAGTGGCTTTACAACCCAAGCTTTCTGTAAGAGTTGTAACGATCCCGGTAGACGAGCTCGTTCTGTGCAGTGGAGGGTTGCCCCGATAAGCCATTGCGACCCTGTCCCGCCCTTAGCTGTCTAAAGTTGTTTCCTTACCGTTCGTAATAACTTCCATGACACCCCTTCACTCCTTAAGCTTAGAAAAATTTACAAAGATCAACAAATGTATTACATTTCAATATCACAGCTGATACATGAAAAAATAAAGAACAAGTACATGGAGGTAAGTACAGATCACAAATGTATCCCAGTATTCTACCATATGCTGCTAACAATTTTAAAATCATCCGCAGTAACTGTGCAGCAAACAATCAAATTTTTTCACAGCAACCCTCCAAAAACGTTGTTCTGCCAGCAGCATATTATAACGTTGAGACATCGATAACGTCATCCTAGAAAACCCCTGACCCATCTACTAGATAATTGTCTGATAGAAGCATTGTCAGGTTTGCCGCCACCTCATCCCCTGAGAAAAATTACAGAACAGCATCTTCTAGAGTTTTTGCGAACTCTGGAACCGCGCATATATGTGACAGCGTTCAAAAATGAACACTTCAAGAGATAAACGGTTAGTGAAGTAAAATTGAAAAGAAAAGCAACTGTGAAACAAACAGACCTTTACAGTAAAAAGTAAAGAACAATTGTTAAAAGTTACCAATAATGCAGCTGAACCACTTCAATACCAATCTTTAAAAAACCAATTTGTAGCAGCATTTGAGAAGGAAATACAATAACAACTTGCTGTTCATATTTACTGAGCTTCCAATATAAATAAACAACTGAACACTAACTTTGAAACTGATATTAACATCCCTCACCAAAACTTCCAAAATTCCTACTGATGGGTTTTTGAAAAACAATTTGCTCCTCTAAAAACATAAAGTTAGAAACAGAGACAAAAATAAAAGGTTCAGCAGAAAAAACGACACTTCTAACCACTGCGCTGCACCCTCTCAGTATCTTACTTTCCCTTAAACTTCCTTTTAAGGTCGTCCAGTCATACTTTTATCTGTTACTACTTGTTCACCTACAATGTCTTGTATTCAAATAAATAAACCTCCCGACTCTTGCAATACAATGCTATACTTTCAGAGAGTGAACTATCATTAAAAGTTTTAACTACTCACCACTAACCCAGAACAGAAGTAAAATCACTGCCTTAAAGAAAAATGACTGCATCCCCGTCCGTATCCGCTAATTGTCGACAAATTTTTGATCCAAAAATACAGAAAATGCAGATGGCGGGTACAAAAGTTACATAACACATGCATGAGAAAAATAATTACGACATTTAGGACTGAAACGGTCATGTGAGATTTGTGCTCGGGAGCTACAAACAATAAACGAGTAACACACCCAAACAAAAGAAAATGCAATGACCCATAATGTCATCAATTTTTAAGCAATCAAAGTCTCTTTTTCAAGCAGACTTCGTAATAATAATTTCAAGAATGAAAAGCACTGTGTTTTTTCAGTTTGTTTCATCCTTCTGAACCTTCCTTTTTCGCCTACGCTTCCCGTTTGCTGTTTTCGCGCCACTAGCAATGTGGACAACTACTCGCTTCTTCTTCTTCTTCACAGAAAGTGGGTTAGGTCCTTTCGCTTTTTTCTTTTTTCTAATTTTCTTCTCTACACCAAGTACTTCTTTTTTCAACTCTTTTATAGCATCTATATCCGCCTTTGGAGTTTCCATAGCCTAAATTACAGCTCAGCTCTGACTATTTACAAAAAGCACAATAAAACAAACAACTATTTCCGCTCAAAAACTTGTCAAAAATTTCAAAACAAAATAACTTGTTTCAACTTTGGGTCTTCAAAAAACTCTGTTTTAAACAGCACGTCGAACCTTTACTGTCGCCTCGCTAGCTCGATCAATCAAGATCCCTTTGTATTTTATAAACAAAATGGGAACACCGGCTATTTGCCGCAGCCTTTCAGTTAACGAATAGTCCTAAAAAGTATTTATTATGCAGATCCTGGAGTACCCAACGGGCTTTTAACCTTCAATTTGGAAAATGCAGACAGACGGCAATAGGTACAACCAAAAACGTTGCTGATTAGAAAATGTAAGGTTAACAAATCGACGTTAGATTTGAACGGAACAGTTTAGTCAGTTTCGCACCTGAGTCGCAACAAAATACTTTGTCCTGTTCTTCATTCGACGAGCCAAATGGCAAATGCAATCAGACGCACTTCTCAATGGCTTATGCGGACATACTTCGACCTGTTAAGATACACATAACAGACCCCGAACTTATTAATAACTGTAATTTGAAAAGAAGAAATACAAAGACATAAGGACATTTATCTTACTTGAAACTGCTTACAAACATGAAGAGCACCGTAGACAGGAGTGCCAAGCCTTTCAAGTTCCGCTAGTACACATGGAGTAACGCAAATTATTACTTCCTGTGAATGGGTTATGTAAATAAGAACAAATCTGAGATATAAAAGAAACCAAAATTAAAAGCGCAAAACGTAATTCAACTATCTTCAAATACCAAAGAAGAAATTATTCTAAAATATTACTTTTCACGAAGTAAAAGAACAGAAAAAAATAAAAATGATAATAAATGTTCAAGAGCTGACCTCGGCGAGATATTTTGGTAGCTGTTCCCGTAAATTTATCTTGTTAGCCAAAGCTGCCACAGCAAAAGTTCCGTCTATTAATATCCGAAATGGCGGACTAAAACCGAAATTGTAACGAAACACCGATATTTGCCTCTGCGCTCTCTTATACCTTCTGATTTTCATTTTTTCGCTAACCTCTGCTAAATAACTTAAAGGTAGAAAAAATCTGGAAGGGAAATTCAAATTCAACCTACACTTTACCGATTCTCTTCAGTCAACAACAAAGCAGCCAGGCAGGAGCTCCATATTGCTCATTTAGGAATCCGGATGCAAAATAATACTTAAATATGAGCTAAACAACGCGACACTTACAGTGACAATACGAAATAAAAATAATGTTAAATAAGAACCCTGTTGTAAGAAAGAAAAAAGTTTTAAATAAGGAAACTGATCCTTTATTTTTTAAAAAATCCCAATAAAAACTTTCAAACCTGTTTTTTAAAGCAATTGAAAAAAGCGATAAATTCTTTCTCACAAGCTGACTTCGTCACTTTATCGGCTTTCTGAGCAACGCAACGTCCGTAATTCAAAGCCTATAATTAACTTGAGGTGGAAACTGCGCTAAAGAACACCTATGTTTTTTGAAATATTTTGTTCTTGCTGATTCTAAGAACCCTATCTAATCCCTTGCAATAAAGTTTTCAAAAATTTTAGGAAGGCAAGATTACTCTGCTGATTACACCACACACAGTCTCAGCGAAGTTTGAGAAAAGAAAATTACTAAAAGAAAATCGGCGCAAACAACTACAAATGCTACTAGGCAAAAAAAAAATTGGAAAAAGCTACGTTTTTCAACTTTTTGTTGGAAGTACTTCTCACTGGTGATTATAAGACTACCACGGAACTTTCAACTCCGAATGGGAATGTCGAAGGATGGTGTGTATATGTTTCGTCACCCACCATTATAAACCTAGAAGTACAAGAGCAAACGCAGCTCGCAGTATACTAAGGACAGCGGTCCATAACAAAGATAAAACTAAACCGCTAACATTCAGTCAGCAAGATTTTTTCAAAACCAACAGCACCTATTTCAAAAGCTGCTCATAACCTGACATACGGAACTGTGAGTAGAGCTTGAGAATTAAAAATAAAGAATAAGAATTTTTAGGTCTAAGCAGCCGCACTATGTGCCAACCCAATGACATACGATGCAAAGAATGTTCATTCAGATTTACAACTAAACACCTTTTGACAGCTCTACAAAAACTGTACTAATCGTTGTCTCTCAACAAATCTTCCTCCGACACAAACTAAAACCGTGGCCAACTTTTTGAGGCTTTTGAAAGTGCCACAGAAGCTCCTCATCTATAATCAGTTACTGACTTCTAATTTGTTTTATATGACAGTGCCTACTAGTTTAAATAAAACAGTGAAAAACGTTACAGGCACAAACAAATATCACCTCAACAGAGCAATTGGTAATGTATACTGCAAAGTTCAATAATCTTTGCTCATTTGACATTGAAACACCTGAAAAAGGTTTTTGATATACTTAATATGAATTAATTATACAGTGCTATTGCGAACAAGCTGAGACATAGTTGAAGAGAAAATAAAGTATTGTTGCTGCAAAATCGTAGAAAATACGGATATCTCTAGAGAAAATGTGTGACAAACAAAACTTTCCCGGGTTTGGATCACTTAAAAGTAACATTTTCACGTTTCCAATGCTAAAGTATGAAAGAAGCTGCTGAAAAAGATGTGGAAAAAAATTCGATGCATTTATGCAAGATAAGAGTTCTATAACTAAATTATTTAAG